TCTTCCGTCCATCCCAAAATACGAATGCCTGGTGCTCCGACACTACAGCCAGAGTTCGTCTTCATTATGAGGACAACAGATGGAAGAATGATGTAATTCACACCGGCGGAGACGGACACTGCTTGAGTGTGTGTGTTTACATGTTCTCACCTTCGGACCAATGCGTTGCTGCCCCTGCGGAGGAATATCTCCAGCATCAGACCTGCAGTAGAATCACAACGGTGTCTAATCGTTCGTCTAGTTGGCGTTCCGTTGGTCTATTTTGGAAGAGGCCTTAAACAAACATGGCTTTCATCTAATTAGTGCTGTTTCTATGAGAACTAAAATATGATGTTGTGCCCCCAACGGTGGCGGAGGTGGACGAACACCCAACCTGGGATGTTCCCATACACGGACATTACAAGCTATTTTGCTACGTTCATCGTCAAACAATGAGATTATTAAGGGCTGGAAAAAGGCACGGCAGCAAAAGGAAAAGCCTGTATAATTACATGTTGCATAATCTTTAGATCACACACTCGTACGCGACTGCTGGTGCGCTGTAATAATTGAAGAGTGTGAGGTGACGTCCCCGATGCTTTCTGAGATTCAAACGCAATCTTTGAACAAAGTGCTTTGTTTGATGTACCACAGGACAGCGTGAGAGAGCAAACAGACCGATACTCAGACACATCAGTCATTGTCCATGATTTTCGCTTCTCCTTTTTCTCTCTTTTCACCTTATTCTTCCAGTTTCTTCCTATCATTCTACCTGCCTTTTTCAGGAACAGATTATACAGGTGAATCTCATGAAACCTGTCAAGATTGTATTTCATTCATTCATTCATAAATAAATTATTAAATAAATAAACAATCTGCATATAGCAAACAAAATGTATTTTAGGACAATTCATTATTTTTTTATTGTAATTAATATATTTTTTTATTTTAATATTGGGTAAGTATTTAAAAATACATGAAAACAACTGCAAATATCTTAAAATATGCTTTATTTTGTTTTATTTAAAGGTTTATTTATTGATATATAATAAATAATAGATTTATTAGATTTTATAGATTTATTTGGAAAAATAAATAGATTTTTCATTCATTCAGTTTATTTATTCATTCATAAAAAATATATAAATTAATGAATTCAATCATTCATTACTATTTATTAATTAATTATTTTT